GTTTTGTGTATGGGCGGCCGGACGCACTCAGAAATTTCGAGAAAAAAAATACCCTCACGTTTCTCGTAGATGATGGATGGCGTTGAGAAAAAAGCTCACTCGTGAAATTCACCACAGTAATAGTTCGTAAAAGTAGCTGTTTCAACTGAACTTACCCATATTCAGTACAGTATATTTATTGTGGAAAATATTCGCAGCTTTTTATTAGTTTATTTCGTTTACGCTGTCGGCCTGAATGACAAAATTCATGTACATGAACAGCCATGTAAATAACTCGGGACTTTCCATTTTGAGCACGCAATGCATGAGCACGCAATGCATGAGCACGCAATAACCGTAGTCAGCTCCAGGCCGAACAATGCACTGAGGTTATGGGAACACATGCACATGTGATAGGGCTCCCGCGAACATTGCAGAGTCTATCACCAAATGCAAAGAAGCACCCGTATCCAGTGAGAAATGACACGAACGAGGTGCAGAATTTTGCCTTCCTTGGCCGACTGAGTCTTCACATCGTAGATCAGATGATGTATGTTGTTGATGTACTAATCATCTTGCCTATAGTACTGTAGCAGTAGCAGACCAACTCTGCAGCCGCCCATGATACGTGTAGTGTCTACATTCCCATTATTATTATGCCCAATCACTTCGATGTGTATCAATTATCATACAATTTAAGTTAATCGTGTATATTATAATAATTATAGTTTTTGATTCCCGTTCATAAATAAAAACCCTGCCGCCTAGCTCATATTCAACATATCTTGGTGAACTTGAGTTCAATGATGCAATAATAAAGTAACTTACTAATTTCATATTTATTTACTCATTGAACTTCAGTGTAAAAGAACAATCATATTAGAAATGTACATATCCTAATGGAGATCTTTGACGAGAAGAAAATGTAAAAATTGTAAAAAAAAAAATAATAATAATGTACAAGCATGCAAAATCCACCCCCTCCTCAAAATTGCTTTATTTCAGACTTATGAGTTCACCCGAACACAATAAAAAACAAAAAACTGAATCACAATTTATCCGCCCATAGAAGTAAAAGGCTTCAGAATTCCATGCGGAGTAAAAATGCAATCATACATGATATAGAACAACATACATGTGCATGCACACGTTGTACTGTACAATCCGAAAACATTACAATTGCGCTTGAAGTCAGCTCCCATGCGACCTTTTACATGTTGGCCCATCCATTGATACAGGGATCACGACGGCAGCACAGCTAGCTAGCTAGCTGAGCATGAGGTTCGCGAACTCCGCGTTTCAGCCCAACAGCCTGCACATTAAACAGCCGTCGGCAACTCCACACGATGCCTGGCGCAAAACTGGTCTGGCTGGTTTGGCTCCTTGCCCAAATAAGAGCGTGGGAACTTGTGAAGCGCAAGACAGACAGGTAGATCGTCATGACGACGGCGTGTCACCACCAATGCGACGAGCTGTGAAAACGTTCCCGCCAAACTGGAGTTCGCTGATAGGCAATAAGACCCGCCCAAAACATCCCATATATAGGTTAACTAGTGCAAGGCATTCCATAGTAACATTATTGTCAAGGATATCTAGTGACGTGTGTCGGCTTTGTAAATATTCATAAAACAGTTTCTAAACTGCATAGTCAAAGTTGATTTAACCGTTCTCTTCAGTGTCTTACTATAATAATTTCTTTCCAATTCTGTAACGAAATTTTCATATACATGTATGTTTTGAAGAAACGGGAAATGATTTATTCTATCCTAATTGGACGCTTTTTATTATCCCTCTAAAATTACAGTTGATTTTTTAATTGCTTTTACGGTCATTAAGCATAAAGATAATAATTGTTCGGCTAAAATATTTGCGTTTGGGTGCATTACCTCCTTCAAAAGAAAATTGTTATGTATTGCTAAGGCATTTCAAAAAAGACGGAAGTATTTTCGGAGTGAAACTCTGAGCATGGCCGGGGAGATCCGCAGCAACTTGAAGTTGTTTTATTGATAAAACGTATTAGGCCTGATATAATCCTCTTCAATTCTACCTTAGGAGGAAAAATAGAAAGGGCTACATGCAGACAACATCACAGTAAATAAGTTCTACAGAATGCGGAAATCGGAGCCATGGATAGTACACTTTTCCGTATCACGACAATCGGTGCTTAATTATATAAAAAAAAAAAAGTGCAGTTCATATACAAATAATATAGATCGTATTTTGAGGCGAAACGCTTTCTGAAAATACATTTTGGCAGTCTTTGTGCTTGATGAATACCGCAGGTGTGAAGTTAAAATATTGCCCAAGGGCCAAGAAACTTGCGGCAAGAATTTTCATTCCGATTTCAGGAAGTTGATTTCAAGTTTTCAACATTATCAAACGATGTGACGGAAATTTGCCACTTATCAAAAAATATTCGGGAACACAGCGCCTTGCTAGCTCCTGGGTTACAAATACCGCCGACGCAACTAAGCCTGAATATTACCGGAGCACTGACCGGTAGCTTACGCGAACTCCGCGTACGCCAGTTTCGCGCACTTCGCGAACCCAGCAGCTGTAGCATATTAGCATAGTTTTAGCATAACAAAGGCGCATTGTCATGCGATGCAAATGAACTGCACAGCTCGAAGTTTACTCCTAACTTGGAATCAAAATTAGTTCGCGAACTTCGCTGACTTCGCGAGGGCTCAATTTTGAAGGCTGCCTAATGGAAAAGTTAACATTTAAGCTTATACCTGTTATGGTATTTGAAAAATTTTGTGGCGAAGGTATGCCCTATATGCATAAACTTGGTTTCAAAATAACCGCAAGACATCAGAACAACTATCAGAGAAACTTGGCAGAATTTGATAAATGCATTGCGACGGTAGGAGCCAAAATCAAAACGGTACATGGAGGGGGGTTGCAGCCCCGCCCCCTCGGCACTGTTCACGCCGCTCTTAAGTTAATTAGTCTGACCAAAGGGAACACTGAAGTTATATTTTCATATTCCACAAGTGCCAAGGCATCAATAAAATGGTTTCATTTTCCCAATTTAAATTTTGTAGTACATGTGCACAATTTCAATTCAATCTGTTAGTCGGCACTGTCATGCATGCTTTCATGTGCATGTACTTTTCAATGGGAAAAGTTAACATTTATGCCTACCTGTGCTGGAAAATGGACATTTCATGACAAAGTTATGTCCTATTTTGATAACTTGGTGTCACAATTACTGCAAGACATCAGATCAGCTGTGAAAGAAACTTGGCAGGATTTAACAAATGCCTTGCGACGATATGAGCCAAAACGTACACGGTGGGGGGTTGAGGCCCCGCCCCCTCCGCGCATTTCCCGCCGCTCTGAAGGTAATTAGTCTGACCTAAAAACCACCCTTAAGTTATGTTTTTATATTCCATGAGTGTTAAGGCATCAGTACAAAATGGTTTCATTTTCTCCTCTTCTGTTGCATTGCAACGGTATCAGCGAA